AAAAAGAAAAAAAAAAAAAAAAAAAAAAAAGGAAAAAGAAATAATTTAATCTTAATATTAAAATCCACATGGAAAAAGATAAAATCTAAAAGCAAGAAACACTATAACAATGCGACTAAAAGAACAAAATACCTGCTAATTAATATTAACTCGTAGTGTATTAACTATTCTTTCTTTAATTTAACACAAGATGTATTATTCTTGCCGGTATAATGTAAAATATAATAATGAAATAAAAAATTATTTAAAAAGCATATAGATTCTAACACAATTTACCAGTTTTGAAATGATCCTGTTAAGACATTCATGCAAAAAAGAACCATTGGAAACAAAGTAAATTAAAAGATACCGTATTGAGAACTTTCATCTACCTACTTACTTTTTTCGTTATAGTAACTCCAAGTGATTGAATAAGCTCTAACAGAGGTGCTTTACAAGATGAATATAACATCCTTTCCTTAATACTGCAACTATATCCTGGCATGCTATATATAAAAACTGCAACACCATAAATAATTATTGATTGAAAGACAGATAATACATTATTGATTGAAAGACTGGCATTTTTATTTTTATAACATACCTATACATTCCATGTAATCTCCTTCATGGGTGTGCTTGAAATTATAAAGATGATATCTAGCAGAATCAGATGGGACTTTTGTTGGCAATTTATCCAACGAAACGTCGCAAGCCATGACCAAATGTATCTTTTCCTCTTCTAAGTCGATCTTCAACTGTACATATTCATGTATACCTTTACCAAGCTCTGTGATCGCTTGCTTTGCCTCATCAGTTACAGGAAAAGCAACACCGCTCAACGTTTGATGCCTTGTTTCTACACTATAATCCGTAGTGACCGTGTTCTTTCTAAGCTCCGCCAATTCCTCCTCCGCAGTTGTTAACGGCGCAGGTGCAGCATTATTTCTCTTGTATTTGTGATAACCTTCCAAAGTTATATCCTCTGGCACTGTACCGTGCAATTCCTCCTTTATAGATGCAGTGCCAAACTCTTGCTTCAAAGTTGCTTTGGTCGACGCATATAACATCTTTTGCCTAACTGGAGCAGTGTCTGGTGACCAGGAGATAAATAACCAATCATAGCCAGAATCAGGAGATTTAGTGTCGAGTCGATAAAGAATATACGCAGGTTGATTTTCGATGATCAGCGGTTTGATCATCTTGTCGTAGTCGTCCTGCCATTTGTTTATTGGCTTGGAAGAAGCAGCAGGTGTTAGTTCCTCTATAAAACAAAGGAACTTGTGAAAATATGTGTGAACTGCATGAGATTCACATTACTTACGCTAGATTGGGAAACAAGCTTACCGTTCTCGATGGAAACCTTCAAGACTCGTATCTTTCCATCCCGACACTTGCTGAACAACTTTTTAAGCGCGTCGTTCGCTGAAACAACCGAACCATGTTGTCATTAACGTTCCAACGTTACGTACACATTTTGAGGTTAATTGCGTAGATTTTGTGGAAACTCATCGCAGTTGACGTTACAACGCAGCAATTCAATACCTTTAATTCCTGTTTGGTGCGACATGGTCCGTGGAAAACTCGGGGCTCCGTCGAAAATATGGTTGGGAACTGGTCGCGCTCCACCCCTCCCCCCGGACTTCCTCCGATTAACCGCGAACGAACAACCGCCGTGACCAAATGACTAGAGAAGGATCACACCGGAATCGGAAGCAAGGGGCAACCACCGACGCGCGACCTGTTCGAAAAAGAACAGTTCGAAAAAGAACTCTGTTCTTCTGGCGAGGGGTGATCCTGGCAACAATGGATCTCCCGATACGTCACTCCAGCGAGAACGAACTTGCCTGCAGTCGTGATGAATAACAAAAAAAAAAAGAAAAAAAAAAGAAAAAGGAAAAGATCAGAACGAGAAGAGGTGGGAAAGAAAAAACGAAATAACTCTGTAAATAAGAAGGAACCGACGCAACTCACCCAAATGCAACTTATCTTTGGAAGTATGTATTTCAAAGTCTCGCAGTGCGGTCTTTGTTTCTCATTCGCGTGGACCTGCCGTATCCACTCCTCGGTTCCATCTCCCAGCTCGATCGCGTCACGTGCACGTCACCTCCGATCGAGATTCACATTTTCACTGCTGCCGCGTTTTCCGAGCCTCGTTTCGAGATCGCCAGTTCGCGACGAGAGAGAAATCTCATTTCGTTTCGTCGAGGAAAGCGGCAACTCGCATCGTTCGGACACGAGTCTCTATGGTATCGTTCGCGTTTGAACACACGCGTTCGTACACACGCGACTTCGGGTGTTGAGAGAGATCCTCTCGAGATGTCGCGCTGCACCGCTGTGCATCAGATGTGCCGTGTTGTGATTGTGCCGATACATCGGGGAGGAAAAAAAACATACGTACTTGCAGTTTGACAGGTTTCACTTATTTTTGCAATCGATCACACCGGAGAACCGTCGGCCAGTGGTTTTTGAGCGACGACGAAGCTTCGGATAACTGTTATGGAAACCGAAAGGCGATCGGATCTGTACGAAGAATGGAAAAGACGGGTAAACAAAGCTCGTCAATAACTTTGCGCCAAGTGTTGCAATTCGTTTTGAAGTCAAGACGATGCCCGAATTAATTAATTTACTGTCTATTCTCGACGTGCAGTTCGGACACCGTGCTGCACGTTGGAAATTAAAAATGTATTTGTTAATCGATAAACGACTAACTGATTATTAAACATTTGTTTTTCTTGATGACTCACACGCTGATTCGTTGAACGATATTAATCCATTTAAAGATTGGCAGTACTCAGATTAGCAGAACGTCTCAATTACCTTAAGTTATGAAAACGACGAAAATGTTTCTGCAGTTGGGATGTGAAAGTAAAAAGAAAAAAAAGTTCTTTTTATTGACACTTAATGGTCATAAAATTAATCTGGCAAATTTTCTGTGTACGTGAATAAATACTTAACATGGTAATGATTTCCTAGGCTTTCCTCGGTCCACTTCCTCAGGGATTTCTCAGATTGGAAGACCGAAATGCTCAGCAGCAACAGGAGGCAGCGGACCAACAAGCAGCACTCGCGCTTCACCAGTTACAAATGCAAAACATGCCAGCGATGCAGGAACCTCATGTTGGCAGACTTAGTATTACCATTGTTCAGGTAACTCTATGATTTTCTCGAACGTATAATGTGTGAGCTTTATTTAGTTTTATGAAAGTAGCAATACACACTATAATAATGTTTTATTCGTAATTTCAAAAAGATACTTCCTATAGGCTAAGCTTGTGAAAAACTACGGGATGACTAGAATGGACCCTTATGTGAGACTAAGAGTAGGCCACGCGGTGTATGAAACACACACTTGCTCAAACGGGGCGAAAAATCCACATTGGAACAAAGTTATTCAGTGGTGCGTAATTTTTGTAATTCAAGCCATCAGTGTATAGATTCATTATCCATCCATTGCTTTTCTTTCTCTTTTTATTATTCAGCTACTTGCCTCCAGGAGTGTCGCAAATATATGTAGAAATTTATGATGAATGTTCGTTTGTCATGGATGAATTAATCGCTTGGGGTCATATAGATATTCCATCACAGGTCCTGCAAAAAGGAGAAACACACGAAGATTGGTACATGCTTAGCGGAAAGCAAGGAGACAATCAAGAGGGAATGATAAATTTAGTTTTCAGTTATACGGTAAAGGTTGTTAATTCAGTTGAAAATATGTTTAATTTTATAATTACAATAAATTAATAACTGTAATTAACTTGTTTCTTTATTTTAATAGACTAAGTGCCATCCGTATATGAGTGCACCTCCAATTATGATGGTTCCTTCTTCGACAATGTTTGGTATGACGCAATATGCACCAGTAAATGTTTATACAGCACCACCTACAGCTGCAGTACCACCTGTTGTTCCCAGTTCTATGCCAAATGCTGAAGTTGAATTAAAGCAGGTATTGTAGAGAAATATAATTTTATTTTTTTTCTGCAACAGATCTTATAATAATGTATAACTTACAGATTTCAGAGATGTTCCCAAATGTGGACAAAGAGGTAATTAAATCAGTTTATGATGCAAATAATGGAAAGAAAGATGTAACTATAAACTCATTACTCCAAATGTGTGAATAAGTAATTTTTTATGCAAATTGCTATTTAATTCCAAAGGCCATATTTGTATTTTCTGCTATGCTATATTTCTTTTAAGATGTAATATATTTGCAAGTTATTGCCATGCATTTTGTGGTATATTAAGATTTAGTGACTTTTAATATAAGGGGATCTATAGAACATATTGGGCATGGAAATATATTTTTTAATGAAATATCTCTTTTAATCTTTTATATATTCATTGATCCTGTGTTTTCGTTTTTGTTTTCGTTTTATATATATATACAGTTGTATACATTTTGTTGTACATAATTAACATAAAAAGTTTCAAGTATTCGTTAAAAAATTTATATTTAGATTTTACTATTTATAAAAATAATATATTAATATAAAACAATAAACATGTACATTTATATATTTTTATGTTTGAAAATATAAATTACAAAAATATACTCACACATGCTTACACAGAATATAACAACAAATATTATGTAAAAGTATACAATCAAGTATACAATTTTGATTGAAACACAGTATTCACAAAAATAGAATGGCGAATCTCCATTTTCCTATATGATTGTAATAGTATTTGTAACTTTTCTATTGAATGTAAAATATATTAAAACTTTCATGGCGGGCGTCACGTTTGCTTGAACATCAATATAACTAAGTAAAAATATCTGTTAAAATAATACGTATGATTATTATACCATAAGATTTTCATAATGATAATTTTAATAATGTTTCACACGACGACCACTGCCGTCTCAAGGATTCTAAACGTGCCCGAAATTTTTACTCGAAACATCCTGCCGCGAAAGTGTTAATAAATTATGAATTGTTAAATGCTTCAATAAATTGTAAAGAACTACTTTACCATCACCTAAAGTAAATAAAAATTTTTCGACATTTGCTGACGCTTTCATCTCATTTATGATAAAAGTCAACCATTTCAAACTTATTTTCCTTTTTGAATTTGTAATTGTTCTTATTTTTTCTCCATAACCCTTGTTCCACAGAAAGATGTACCAAAAACCACTTAAAACATTTAATAAGTTTATAAACTTTATAAACTAACTTGACCAGAGATAAAAATATGTACTTTGCCAATGTGGCAAGTATTTTTTTATTGGCTCTGTCAAAAATCTAGCTAAAGGTACTGTATTGGAAAGTGCCGTTAAGATCGCGTATATTCTAATGCGGCTGTATTTATCATAAAACGGTGATTTTAGCATGTAAAGGAGCAAAGCAACTTTTCGCCGGAAGAACTCCTTCTCCTCCTCCTTACTAAACGACATATTTTTCGTTTGGTTATTAACTATCTTTAAACTGCAAAAAAAGAAAAACATTGAATCTTTATGTCATTACATAATTCAATCAATTTAACGACAGTTACTTGATAAAATTTGGTAATAAATTTCAATTTTTACCTGAATAAATCGATAGCAAGCGATAACAACCATGGTGGCCAACGTTTTTTTCCAGTAACAGATATACATCCTAAGTGGAATAATGGTTTTAGAACGTAAAGAGTCTAGAAACAAAATGAAAGATATTAACGGATAAGTGTTTCCACAACAGCTAGTACATTGAAGTGAACTTGAATAATGTCCTCACTTCAGCTAATATCAAGTTCTTTTCTAATACTGGAGACCTATTTAAATTATCATTATTCTGAACATCGGAAGAAAGTGGTTTCCAAGTGCGCACATATGAATGATTGATGCTTCTTATACTTCTAACAATAGTGCCGGAACGTTTTAGTTTAAATCCTTCCCCTAATTTGTCACTATGTGAATCGTTTAACTTCTCTCTGTTAAGCGGCTGTATTGGAGGACTTTTGGTTACACGTTCCTTGTAAATATGAATCAACATGAGTCTCAATACGGTTCTGCAAAGGATTTGTTTTTAAATACTGACAACTGAAAAAGAAATACATAAATTCAGAAATATCATGGCACACACTTAAACAATTGTACAACAATAATCATGAACCATTTCCCGGTTTGTCCCCATAATTTCTTTGCGGAGATCTCGACGAGAGCTTCCGTGTACTCTACCACGGTTAACCAAATCTTGATTTTCGTCTCGAACTGGCGAAACTTCAAATTGACACATTTCCCGCTGCACATCAGCAAATCGTTGAAGAGCACTATCAAGTTCGAAGTTGAGTACAACAGCTCCGACACAAAAGTAGAGTTGTTGAAATGACCTGAAAAAAAAATTTGTGTTAAACTAGAACACACGAGAAGGATCGTTGTCTCAAAACAAACCAGCTGTGAAGTAAGGTAAACAATGGACCATGTTCTCAATTTCGCACAATAGTTGCGGATTTTCTATGATCCAGTTTCTATATGGTTCGATGATTTTCAACACGGAGGAATTTATAATGTCCAATACCATTTTGATCCACTGAATAATCTAATGAAATCTCCTTGATAATAATAGTTAACCTTCCAACACCAACGCACGATCCTTTATGCATTTTCTACAGAACAAAAATCATTGGCCATTTCTGACAAATCGAATAGCAAAAAAATATCTGATCTGTTTTCTTTTTTTGCTGTTACAACTGTTTAGCATAACAAATCTCCTCCTTGAACTTTAAACATGCTTACTCCAGTGGACTTATATGTATATATACATACTACACTTATTATATATATATTTGACATACATTGTACAGTGTATACCGTAAGGAACTCTACAGGATGTGTCAGAAACATGACACGTAAGTATTCTTCATAACAGATATCAATGATGTAATAATATTAAACAATGAACATTATTAACATTATTACATATGATTAAAAAATGAACATTAACACAGCCAATGATGTATCATAATTGTTTTAGATGTATTAAAGCCCTTTCATGCATTTTGTATTTATTCAGATTTATGTTAAAGTTCATCAAATTCGTAATTTGGCGCGTAATTTTTTCCCGCGTTCTCATTTGTTAATCTTTCCCGCTTTTTTGTTTATATTAGATTTTTGTGAAATTAATTAATACTTTCTCGCGGAACAAATAACACGTAATTGTGTGCTTTTCGAAAATTTCTTCCTAATGGTTTTTTTATTTTAAGCCTCTTCGAATTTGAAAGATTTGGAGTTAACCAGTAGTGGATTACATCTGTTGCACGAGTATCAGTTATTGGTTTCATCATATTATAAGTTTTCTTTGTATTGACGTTCTCTTTGAATCATGAATGAAACGAATCAGTCTGAGAACGAGAAAGAGCACGAGGAATATCAATACTTGAATATAATCAAAAAGGTGATCAAAGAAGGGACAAGGAAAGATGATCGTACAGGCGTAGGCACGCTATCAATTTTTGGGACGCAAATGCGGTTTACTTTACGAGACAGTAAGTAAACAACTCTCTTTCATTCTTTTATGGAACAAAGTTTAATTATCCTGTGCAATTGAATACAATCATTAATGTGATCTGTTATCATAGACGTGTTTCCATTACTAACTACAAAACGAGTGTTTTGGAAGGGTGTGCTGGAGGAGTTGCTATGGTTTATCAGAGGTTCAACAAACGCCAAGGAATTGACTGAAAAAAATGTTCACATATGGGATGCGAACAGCTCACGTAACTTCCTGGACTCCTCTGGCTTTACAGACAGAGAGGAAGGAGATCTGGGACCTGTCTATGGTTTTCAATGGAGACATTTTGGTGCGGAATACAAAGATATGCATACAGATTATAGTGGACAAGGTGAAACAGTAACTCAGCGTTCCTATATTTAATTGTACAAATTTAATTATCTACAAGTACATTTAAAGATTTGTTTATATAGGCATAGATCAATTGGAACAGGTAATAGATAAGATACGGCATTCCCCGAATGATAGAAGGATTATAATGACAGCATGGAACCCAGTTGACATACCAAAAATGGCTCTGCCTCCTTGCCATTGTTTCGTTCAATTCTATGTAAACAATGGAGAATTGTCGTGTCAACTTTATCAAAGAAGCGCAGACATGGGTCTTGGCGTACCGTTTAATATCGCGTCCTATTCTTTGCTAACTTACATGCTGGCACATATTACAAATTTGAAGGTAAATTTACGAGACATAAATAAAGAGAGAGAAAAATCAATGAGCTTTTTAACAGAAACTTGCATCTTTTAATTTATTTCTAGCCAGGTGAATTTGTACATACAATGGGTGACTGTCACGTGTATCTCAATCACATATCCGCGCTTGAGGAGCAAATAAAGCGTGTGCCAAAATCATTCCCATGTTTAAAAATCGTCAAGAACGTTGAAAATATAAATGATTTCACGGCAGATGATTTCGAACTGATCGGATACGTCCCACATACAAAAATCTCCATGCCAATGGCCGTTTAAAAACGGAGTGCGAACAAGCTTATGTACATTTTTTTTTTTTTTAATCTAGAAGCAAGATTTAACAATTAAGAAAATACGTGTACAATTGACATTAAATCGGTGAATGAATTCATGTAGCATTATCATATTTCAACCATATCTATATTTTATTTTCTAATAAAAATTGTTTTTATTCATTTCTTTCTTTAATAAACTCGTATCTTAATTATACACACGCAAAAAAATATATATATATATTTTGTAATAATATATGTATATATATATACTTTTTTAAATTATTTATATTTATATCAATTTCTATCAGTACCAGTTTCAAAAATGGTCCATACGTGTCTGTTACAGCTCTAGCCATAGTCGTTTGCCACACGTCACATTACAGAAACAATCGAATAAAAGAAGATCCTCCAGAAGGGTGTAACTGACAAGCATGGACGACAAAAGGCCTTGTGTAAGCAACTTTCAGAATTTAACAAAATTATCTTACTTCTATACAATATGGTATTTAAATCCAGTACTGTCTTAAATCATGTAATTATCCATTAAAGATATTGTTTTCTCGCGTGACTACAAAGGAAAATAAAAATGTTTCTAATGTTCTAAAACGGTATCTTAAACGAACATGTTACTTTTAACTTTGTTTGGTTTAAAAATAATCAAAGGCGTTTAAAAAATGAGAAGGAGAGAAGTTAAGGAAATTTTCTGGATATTCGGGGCTAGCACATCTTTGCATCATTAGATGATGAAGTACTTAATTGATGCAGTTGTTGAGTAATGGCCAGAGTACCACTTTCACTTACTGTAATGGTTATCCAAATAACATCTAAGTTAAAAAGAAAAGAATTATTGCTATAGAAAAAGAATGTCACAGATGCGCAACAACAATAAGATAAAAGATTTTACTTCCGAAAAAGATTTCTGTAGACTTTACCATCATCCTCCATTTACTTTGAAATGTACCACAATTTGGAGGACTCTGAAGATCCACATTCACTTCAGTTATCTCTGCCGGACCTAGTGATGGTACTGGTACTCTTGTACATGCTCCCATTTGTACCCCTCCTATATACTGTAAACAGATTCCATCAGGCCATGCTTCTGTACCACTGTTTTGTACATGCCATGATTTTCGAAACTTAGTGAGGGGCGGTATTGATTCTCCTTCACCGATGGTGCTGTCACATACCAGCATCATACAAGGAAACTTATTTTGAATCGGAGATTCAAAGTCAAAGTAGCTACATATCGCTGCTTGGAGGTTCCTACAATTGTATGTAGATTATTTACACGTATACATACATTTATTTAATTTGTCTATGCTTCATCAACAAATGTCGGTTTTTAAAAAAATCATACTCTTTTTTTTTTTATAGTCACTTAATATTCTAATGAAACAGTCGCTTGATTGAACGACGATTTACTTAACAAATAACCCTACGCCGTACATAACTCGAAGGAATGAAAGTGTGATATGACTGTGAGCTGTCAGTGGTGTAAATAAGCAAAGATGGATAGGACAATACGACACGTAAACATGGCGACGGTAGGGTTAGGTCGGGTCGACTGAATCTGATCAACGTAAAACAGGTATATGTGGAGGGATGTCTCACCAATTATTCATATCCAAGAAGAACTCGGCGGTCGTTTCATTGAGCTGGCTGCCAGCCAGCAGCTTCTGCAGCTGCTTTACCAGATCGTCCCTGTCGGTTGTGCCTAGGCAACTGAACTGATGAATCAAATGCTGGTCCACGTTGTCCATGTTAATGTATTTCGTCTCTCGTTCAATACTCCATGTAACGGTAACTGTCACACCGCGAATCAGCAAGGCTTCTCTGTTCTATTATCGTATGATCTTTAACTGCAAATTTTAAATGTCATTCTTCATGACGTTCATCCGTGCGCAGTGGATACATGCATCTACACAGTACACTCGGCGCAAAAAGTGCCACGATTGCGAGTACAGTCCGTGGATTGTAAAAATGCAACTTTGTCGGTTTCCGTCTCTTTCTCTATGCGATGTCACCTTGACCCTGAACGCTGCTAGTCACACGCCGTGTCTTTATAGCGGGTAAATAAATACGCAAAACGGCCGTCGATCTCTCTTCAAAATCGACTCGTCCGCTGCGCCAACGCGGCCATACATACACGCAAGCTTGGTTGCATGTATGCTGGGGCCGAGCGAGTTCTTTTTAATTATTATCCTATTAACAACATTTTTATCTTAACGTTATACATTAAAATAAAACATTTTCTATGTTATTTAATATTCAAATATATATATATAGAATTGTATATTTATACATAAACTACATGATATACATATACATAAACTTTCTTCGTACACACTTGTCATTACAAGTGTTTACATATAATACATTTACGATTGTATAAATATATTTGAATATATGTATTCAATAATTAATTACTCTGCATCCCAATTGGATTCCCACAGAATCTATAGATGTTAGAAAGAAGCATTAAGCGAGAAACAAAATGGGTTAATATAGCTTAAGATTTATAATATTTTTTTTTATTAGTTTGGAACATACAGATACTCTTTCCAGAGACTCGAAACCAAAACTTCGGGGCTTGGTGTTTTGAAAGTTTCAGCAAGTGACATGTAATCCGATATTTTCGACGAGAATAATTTATAATTTTTGCCGAAGAAGCTCGTTTATGTCAATGCTCTCGTCTAATACTGACACGTACAACGAAATTTTCTGTTACAGGTACGTGTGGAGACTTTTGAGCGCCAAATTTTTGTCGGACCGCGCATGCGCCCGCGTCCCCTCCACTTGGACCACGGCTCAGTGATGTGCGCGCATCACGCCGCGTAACAGTTGAAATACGAAAGAGAAGACAGTCGGCGGTCCGAAGTTGATCATGTAGATATACCAGAGAAAAAAAAGAGAACGTCTGATTGCAAGGTGATTTCACGTACAAAGGGGAGTGCCGTCCGCAATGAGACATCATTGAACCCCGTGTACCCTGTTGACTACGTTATTTAGTCGCGAGTCCCTTCGCCGATAATCTCCAACAACCCCCTCTTCTATTCTCACGGACAAAAACGCGAGGCTGGTGCATCGATGAAACGTTCAACACCCCTGGCATGTTATTTTCATGTTGACATTAGGACATCGTGATGAAAGTCGGGACGTGCACTGTAATTAACAGTTCCGTTAGCCCGACGATCGCGGAATAATTCGTGGCGGATCTCGTCAAGTCTCGCCGAAATCAAGATTCCCTCGGGTGGGTCAAGGTAAGTGTAAATGGATATATTGTTCATGCCGTTATATAGTTTTTTAATCATTTGTTTGATTTGACTCGATTCAGCTTTGATTATTTGTTAAGTTTCGTTAATTCAAGTCGTGGGATCAACGCATAAGTTGCTGCTCCATCGAGTTAAGAAAAATGCATGGAAAGAGTAGACGCACAGCGGAAGCCCAGTTGCACAGATAGAAAACTACAAAACGAATATCTGTAGTGTAATGAGAAATGAAAAGTGTACGATAGTTGGACCACTTCCGAAATTTATGCGAAATTGTCTAGATCTGGATGGAAGAGGAAATCGACTAAATTTTGTGAAACGCTTTTCCACGATTGTAGTATGATTCGATGGAGTTTGATCGCTGTAGTTAATTCGAACGAGAAGTCACGAATGAAGTGTTGCATTAACCATTAGTTGGTTGTTAACTTAGTTCATGCCTTTAATATTTTGCATTGCACACTCCAACATTTCTGTATTTCCAATGGGACAATTTCAGTTCATGGCTCGAGCTTGATACGTAGCTTCTTTAAATTGACTACTTTTGACTTTATTATGTATGTTTTATGTTTCTTCGCTTCTTTTCACTTGTCCTGTTCTTAATAGGAATGTCTTTTCGATACATTGTTCCTTTCATGCTACTTCAGATTACACGAGTGCAACAAAAATGAAACGACGCAATTAAGTTAAATATTTAATTTTCAATCTCAAGTTTTAGAAACTTTAAGATCCACGAAAATTTATAGTTAGAGTCACGTAGAGTACCGAGTTGTCATATTCTGATTCAAGTAGGTAATTCTTAATTTTTTTGCCTGCTAAAGGGAAAATTGATTATTAGTATTAAAGTCGTTGCTGTACGATGAAATAATATCTTTAGTTATACAATAAATACAATAATACTAATGGTTGCTACAATATGATATTGCTAATTATCGTGGATATCACACGCAAAATGTCAGAAAATTCTTCGCACGATCAACATTGCATTTACACACACGAACGCTAAAATTTGACAGCATGATTGGGCCATCCTCTGACCCCGAGCGCGAGCTATCCGACAACCAGTCTCGCGCCAGCAAGAAACGAATCTTCGAGGATCTGGACATCGAGAGCATCTGCGAGGAGGTGCAGAACGTCCGTAAACGATACCAGTACCAAGAGATCGAGGCCCCAATGGAAGTGGTCACCTCTCACCAAGAATTGGGCGACACGGTGGCCCTGTTCTCGCCGTTGTCGGCCCAGGAAGCCGTGGAGGAGTGCCCGGTTGCTCGACTGGAGGTTCTCCTCGTGGACGGCACTAACTGCACCTGGACAACCGTCTCGGAGCTGGAACAACACCAACAGAGTATCGTCGACATCGCGGCCTCGCCATCGACGTCCTCCTCGTCGTCGTCGGAGCACAGGCAAGAGCAAGTGATCCAGGAGGTTCAAGTAGAGGAGACGAGCTATCCCATTAACTCTGACTATTGGGAGCCAGTTGTTACCGTTCCGCCGTCCAACATACAACAGAGTAAGACTGACGTGCCTTCTAGTAGCCATCAACAGCAACAATTCGACGATCAGGAGACTGGGAACCTTTCCTGGTTGCTGGATTTCAAGTTGGATCCGTTCATCGAGGCTGCCGACGAAAAATCCACTGTGCCTACTTCGTACAAGGACGTTCACAGTGGTGTGCAACTGTTCGACATATGCTTGTATCAACCTTTTATGCTCAATGCTATTTGTTGACCACTGATATTTATTGGTTCATGGTTTTTCACAAGTAGAGAACACACAGGGATGTCATCGGGGTGGAGACTTGGGTAACTTTGCCAAATGTTAATGCGAATTTTTGGAAGAATTAAATTTTATATTCGCGTGATTGGGGTAGAGGAAAGTTTTCAATAATAATTAATTATACCGTCACGCGCCATTAGGAGATAATTTGGAAAAATAATACTTGCATTGTTTTTCTATGAGTTTTAATTGAACAAAGTTAATCAACAATTCATAGTACAGTATAAAGGGTTGATTTTGAAATTGTTGGCTGGTATGGTTTAGAGAAATTGTAAAAAAAGAAAAAAATGAATGTTTTCACGCTTTTAGGGAACAAGACAAGAGTAAATGGACGTTCTTACGGATACACCTACGTGAACGATGTGAAGAGAAGCTACAACGAGAACGGATCGTCGCATCTGGAGTCGAATCATAGTTACTCTAGCCTGGACAATCGGAATTTTGTGTCTTCCCGATGCAACGGCCCAAAGAAGCCACCGTTCACGTACACAGAACTTATAGAACACGCTCTTCGTGAAAAGGGGGAGCTCACGGTGTCAGCTATCTATCAGTGGATTTCGTGAGTACTTTCGAGACGATTCATTTAAACCAGGGATGACTTATTCGAAGCCCCATGAAACTTTCGAAAAGATTCGAAACTGTCGATATTCTCGGATAGGAAAAATTATAAATAAAATCAATAAACGAAGAGTCATTGGCAGATTCGTGACTCGCTTCGCGAACGTTCGACGATCAGTTTTTGCTTTTAGGGATGTAAGCAGATGCGCGATTGATTATAATTCTGAGATTATAATGTAAAATATACAAGTCTCCATTGAATCATTAAAAAAAATATCACACCATCGACCGTCGACGGTGAAACACGCTATGTGTGAAATTAACAATAAGATCTCAGCCAAATTTGCAGATTTACATAAACACATAACAAAGAAGCTGTTTGACAATTACTTGTCAAGTAAATATAGTGGAATGGGAATTAAAAACGAGTACAGGCTGACCCGAATCTTAAGCATAAATGTAAAATCCTCTGTCCTGCTCCATTGAAATTCGCGTAACTGAACTCTAACTGAATTAACAAGTCTTAAACTCGCGAGAAAGGGATACAGCTATGCATTAAGTAAATATCGCGGGAGGAGGATTGAAAATGAGTTCAGGGGCTCGATCGTGTGTATTGTCTATATCTGACAAGTCCACGATCGAACAGGTGAAAGCACAGAGCCAGTAAATTGCGCGCATTTGTATTGGTGAGGGGGAGAGGGAGGTTTGGAACGAACGAGAGAGCCGGTACCAGCAGGTACCACCGCGTAGCGAGGGCAGCGGTGCCAAGGGGTACCATCTAAGAGCGCGACCCTTCCCGACCAGCTACCCCCGCATCGACGCGGACCACGTTCTCGTAAATTCGTAGAAACTGGTTTCCTACATTCCCTACCGCACGAAGGAGAACCCGTACGCCGTAATTGCGTTAATACATTCATGGATGAATCACCTCCCAGGGGGGCGGGAAGGATGAACTCGACTCGCGAAATAATATTAATATTCTTACGTTTGATTTTCTTTTTTTTTTTTTTTCTTTTTCTTCTTTGTTCTTTCGCTAATTTTTGTTGCTTAATTATTTACATTTCGTTTGCGCTTTATCTGACATTTGCAAGCTTAATAAAGAGGATTAGAAGGGTTTAATATTCCGATCGTTATTGGAAAAAATTCAAGCACCGTTTAATTATCGTCGATAAACTCGCGCTTATAATACGAAAATCGTCATTCGACAATCGTTGTGGGTGCGATTTAAATGTAAAAAATTTACTTTCCTTTATACTTTCTTTTTTTTTTCTTTTTTTTTTTTTTTTTTTTTTTTTTAAATTTAATCGATTTAAAAACTTCATATTGAATTTCATGTTTCTTTCTTTGTGGAGTAGTTTTTTCTTTTCTTCTTTTGTTTTTTTTTTCATTTCGATATCCGAGTTCACTTTGGAATTGGCTTTGTTTGTGAAATCAATCGATAAATAAGAATTATCAATTTTTTCCCTTTGGTAGGAAACTATTTCTTAATTATGTCGCAGGTACGACATTCAAAATTTCGAAAAAGCAATAAAGGTATAATTCTTAATTAAATTATTGTAAAAACTGAAAGTGTTATCTCACCAGATAAGTATTTTTCGTAAGATATCTCGGAATCTAACCGATTATCTTGAAACTTGGTACGTATCTTTAGTGTAACATTTACTAGGGATTGACGATCGAACATTTTTTAAATTTTTAACAATCTCGAAAAATACAAACAAAAACCGTAGAAACTTTTGGCATAAATACGAAACATCAAAAACAAATAGCTGCTAGTTTCACAATTTTCACAGAAATGAAAATGTTGGATCGTCAATCCCTAGAGAATATCGTTTACTTTTGAACATTTTTCGTTGCAACTAATCCTGTTTGGCTGGAATCATGCATACCGATGGGCAATGTAAAAAAAAAACTTATGTAAAAGGATGCCGTTAAAAAGTTAAACGAGAGCTCTATTTTTCTTTTTTAATGTTGCTTTTTACAGTTCATAATGTGTCAAAATAAATCACGAAAGCTCATATTAATCAAATATGTACTTTCTTTTTACCCTCCAAAGTATTCGTAATTTTTAGGCCCGTCAAACCGTCCTGCCCCCTCGATTCGAACACAGAGCTAAACAATACTGTTTCTTCAACCCTCAGATACTTCTCGCAAAATGGTAAGCCAGATTGCATGGAAAAATGGTACCTGCCAATCTCGAACTGCCGCCGAACAATAATAAATTCCATTCCATCGATCCAGCGGAAGTATGGAACTCAATCCGAAGGTAGAGAACTATTCCTAACTATATATCTCGTTCCCGGATCCACGACGAAACATTTTAACGCTGGCACGCGTTCCCTTGTCTCGGTATTTCCATGCACTTTCGCGTGGTTTTGCCGAGAGAGTGCTGCGCGCCCTGTTTCGCCCGCCATTTGTCTGTTATTCGGTTCCCGATCCAAGGAGATATCGATCCTTCTCTACCCTCTTCTAATTTCATCGTTCTTCAGCCAACGCAGAGAGACGCGCGATGAAAAGCGCGTTGGAGAGAGAAAGAAAGAGAGAAAGTTACACACACACACACACACACACATACTTCCTTTGTTCTCTCAGCGAAAACAAATTTGATTTTTTTTTCTCTCTCTTTCTCTTCCCTCTCCCTCGATATCGATCGAGAGAGTAGTCGCAGATGTTCCATTTCCTGCAGCCTGTTTTCCTTTTCATTGAATTCGCGAGATAGAATCTGACTGTGGAATACCAGGATCCATCGCAGCTTTCAGCCGAGAGGGATCCCCCCTTCTCTCTCTCTCTCTCTCTCTCTCTCTCTCTTTCTTTCTCTCTCCCTCTTTGCCACGCTTTCCCGAAAGCGAAAGCAACTTCGGATTCACTTCGTGCCGAGCTCGGGTGAAATTCAACTTCGAACGTTCCGTTCCCTCTATCGGGCATTGCCCGCTTTTGGCAACACGAGGTTTTAATCATCGTTTCGATCGTTTGTTGACGAAATTCTTTCTTTTCTCTTTCTTTTTTTCTTTTTTTTCTTTTTTTCTTTTCGCGGATGAGAACTTCGGACTGAATTATATACTGTGTCAGTGGGCTAGGGTGGTTCACATAACTCGTACACCTGAAATAACGTTTCAATCGTGCGTCTAATGAAAAATCGTTTAACACAAAAGTTGTATAGTTTTAAAGGAGGCAAAATATCGATGAAATTCGTTGAAATTCTCAAGCTCGTCTCTATTTTTTTAAACCAAACTATGTACTTTCTTCATCACAAGTCGAAAGAATATTAAATTCTAAACAAAAAAGTATTAACCCGCGTTGGTCCTAAACTGCGTGAAGCATTTATTTGCAAACATTTATAAACATAAGTGACCTTATTTTATCTATATGTTGTGCTCAAAATTGTGTTCATTAACACTTGTGCAATTTTTCATCAGACGCATAATCAAAAAGTGTGCATGTCACGTGAATCAAACCCTGTATAGTCGAAACAATAGTGTTTTATCAGCAAAACTGGAATATACAAAGCAGATCATCTAACGTGAATGTTTCAATTATTTTTCTTATTGGTATATCAATTTTTTTCTTTTTTCTTTTTTATCACAATCGAAATTTGACATTTGATCTTTTTAAGTATTTTTTCCAAGATCATCTTCAACTTTTTTTCACTATTTATAGCACTATTTTCTTTTTCTTTTCTTTTTGCTCGTCAGGTTGCAAGTATCGAGGCGAACGAGATCAGAAACAATAACTTTCCTTTATCTGACGATAAAAATATAATGGAGATTAAAACCGAAATGGCGAGAAGGTCAGTTTGTACAAATTAGATGACATAAAATATCTTCGATCTTAACTTTCAAACTCGCAGTAAATGTTCGAAATATCGTCAATTTCCTTTTTCAATCATTTTCTATGAACGATGAAAAATGAACGACTTCATGCATGATTGTAATACAATATGAAAATTAATTTAATTCGAAATTTCATAAATTTCTTTTATTTGAGCAAGGAAGCTTTATCTTTAATATATTCTATTGTAAATGGAAAACTTTGGAGCCCTTGCATTTTCCAATAGATAATTGCTCGAGTATTTATTACAGCATAAATAGTGATTTCTAATCATTATACAAAAAGCTTACAACCAATTAGAAAAATATATACAGTGAAAAGCGTAACTGATATGTAAAAATTCAAATATTTCCAGAAATTGCAAAATCATTTAATGACTAGATCCACAGTCATTTTTTTTCCTTTCTTTTTTTTAATAAGTGAGATATTTTCATTCTCAGAATTTGCTGTACAATCTTTTTTCAATATTTTATTCAATTTTGAATATCACGACAAAAATTCAGCAAACTCTAACATTTTCTAATGTTTGGTCCTAATGTTTAAAGTTCAATGAAACGATGAGAGAAATCATACAAGTTTCAAGAGATCGTTGTAAAGAGCAGCCTTGAATAAAATGGTGAATCATGAAAAAATTTTGTCATTGTTTCCAGAGACTTTTGGATTTTTACAATATTTTGAGAAAAAAAGAAGAAAAGAAACGAACTCAGTCATTGTTAACTTCTACGCTTTAAAAATGAAACCGAGTTGAATCGAATTCCTTTTCACAAAATTGCAACAACTGAAAATTATCAACTATTCTTCGCCGTTATTGACTCACTTGTGACTCGACCACGAGCATAGAAACTTCGTTCCCGCAAATTCCGAGGTCCAAAAGTCGTCGGATATTTCCTCGAAAACGATGAACGAAAAAAGCAAAATCTCCAATTGGGGGGAAGCGAAACATTTTTCTATTATTTCGAGCGAGGAATCCTCCCGAGCCAGGGAATAAATAAATAGAAAGCTATATCCGGGATGGAAATAAAAATTGATCGTTTTCAGGAGTACTTTTTCCCCCGAAGCGTAGACCGGTAGCTGGAAATCCCGCGTCGCGCCGCGAGGACAAAAAGAGAGAAAGAGAAAGAAATAAAGAGAGAGAGAGAGAGAGAGAGAGAGACCAGTCGCCTTTAAATTTCGCCGAGTGGCGAAGCTTTCGTGAGCAGCTTTTAATTCCCGGATAATTCGACGTTCACGT